TTTTGTAAATTTGGTTGCCTATAGGAGCTCTCTGGTAGTGTAGTGGTTACGAATCGGGCTGTGAACCACAAGGTAAGCATTCCAAAACTACCACCTGCTCTGTGGGAGAAAGATGAGGCTTTCTGCTCCTATAAAAATTTACGGCCTCGGAAACCCTGATCAGTGTCACTATGGGTCAGAACTGACTCGACAGCACTTAACAACAACAACAACATAGGAGTCCTAATATGGTGCTGTGGGATAATGCACTGGATGCAAAGTCAGTTTGAATCCCAAAGTTGTCAATTCAAATTCACCTGCCACTCCTTGGAAACTCTAAACAATGTCACTGTAAAAAGGAACCAATTCAATGGGTACCTCACAACAGTAGTGTTTTGTAATTTTCTTTTACTGGTCTTTTGTCACTCTAGTTAGATTTATTCCTAAGTATTTCAACCTTTGGGTAGTCATTGTAAATGGTGTTGTGTTCCTAACTTCCTTTTCAGAGCTGTCTTTATTAGTATAGAGGAATCCAGCTGATTTTTGTATATTGATCTTGTATCCTGTCACTTTGTTGAATCTTTCAGTCAGTTCCAATAGTTTTTTTTTTTGTTTTTTTTTTTGCTGAATCTTTGGGATTTTCTGTGTATAGAATCACATCATATGAGAGTAAAGAGAGTTTTACTTCTCCTTTGCCAATGTGGATGCCTTTGATTTCCCTTTCTTGTCTTATTTCTCTGGCTAAGACTTCCAACACAATATTGAATAGGAGTGGTGGTAAAGGGCATCCTTGTCTAGTACCTGTTCACAGTGGGAATATTTTCAAGTTTTCTCCTTTCAAAGTGATGTTGGCTGTTGGTTTTGTGTATATGCTCTTAATTATGTCCTGGAATTCCCCATCAAGTCCTACTTTGTTTAATGTTTTTACCAAGAATGTTTTTGGATTTTGTCAAAGCCTTTTCTGCACCAATAGATATGGTCATGTGGTTCTTTGACTTCTTAAAATTTATATGGTGAATTATGTCGATTGTGTTTGTAATAATGAACCTTCCTTGCATCCCTGGCGTGAATCCCACTTCATTATAATATATTATTATTTTTGATATATTGTTGAATTCTGTTGCTAGGATTTTAATGAGAATTTTGCATCTATGTTCATGAGGAATATTGGGCTATTATTTTCTATTTCAGTGATGTCCTTCCCTGGTTTGGGTATGAGGATAATACTTGTTTCATAAAATGTTCTAGGGAGTTTCCCATCCTTTTCTATAGTATGGAATAGTTTGACTAACACTGGTGTCAGCTCTTCTCCAAATGTTTTGTAAGACTCACCAGTAAGGCTATGTGCACCTGGACTTTTTTTTGGTTGGGAGTTTTTGGATGACCTGACCAATTTTTTCTTTTATTATAGGTCTGTTCAAGGTTTTTACTTCACTCTGTGTAAGTTTAGGTAGGTCATGTTTTATAAAAATGTATCCATTTCCTAGATTTTCAAATTTGTTGGAGTACAACTTTTCATAGTATTCTTTATTATCCTTTTTATTTCCATTGGTTCTGTTGTGGCATTACCCATGTGATTTCTTATGCATGCTATTTATGTCTTCTCTCTTTTTTATTTTGTTACATTTGCCAATGTTCTGTTGATTTTATTAACCCTTTCAAAGAACCAACTTCTTGTCTTATTGATTCTATTGTTTTTCTGTTTTCTATTTCATTTATTTCTGCTCTAATCTTTATTATTTCTTTTCTTCTGGTGACTGTAAGTTTACTTTACTGGTATTTTTCTAACTGTTGGAAATGTTGTGTTAATGTGTTGATTTTGGTTCTTTCTTCTTTTTGGATGGGTGCATTTATTGCTGTAAATTGCCCTTTCAACACTGCTTTTGCTGTGTACCAAAGGTTTTGATATGTTGTGTTTTCATTCTGATTTGTTTCTAGGAATTTTTTAATTTCATTTTTCATTTGTCCTACTGAACAAGGTGTTATTCAGTTTCCATGTACTTTATTTCTTTGATCCTTCTATTGTTGATTTCTAATATGTAAAGATGCTTTGTAGTATTTTGATGTTTTTTAATATATTGGGACAGACTAACACATGGTCTATTCTGGAGAATGTTCCATGTGCTCTGGTGTGTATTGTACTGTTGTTGGGTTGAATGCTCTGTACAAATCTATGAGGTCAAGTTGATTGATTGTGTTATTTACTTCCTCTGTGTCTTTGTTGAGTTTATCTCTGGTTGTTCTGTCCTTATTTGAAAGTGGTGTATTAAAATCTCCCACTATTATT